CAGTCTCTTTGACCTTTGTGATCGCGATGGGGTTTGTTGTGAGCACAATATTTGCTTTAGTGAAGGCCGGTTTGCAATCGCGAAGGCCAAATTTTTGTCGGGGTTCGCTTTTGCGACATTAAAGAAGGGTTTAAGCCTATCAATTTTAGGCATTATGCCCAAAATCCTTGAAAGGAATTTTGAAGAGATTTTTTGGGCTAAATCATTTAGGTAAACCTTTGTAACTTTAAAACTTCATTTCTCATTAATCATGTATGGATTTTAACATCAAAACTTGGAATTTTGATTGACAAATGGCAAGAATTTTCAAGAACTTGAGTTCTAAACTAAAATGGTGATTGTGAACTGATTTTAACTCCTTTTTCGAAATGTTTTCACCAATGAGTTCCAAATATCTTGGATAACATTTACAAGTAAAGATTTTTTTATTCAAATTTCATTTTTGAAATTAGATTTTGTTATGAACCAAATTCGGCCTAATATCGATACATATACGGATGTGATGCAACACAACTAGTTATTGAGCCAAAAAGAAGCAGAAAAATTAGAAGACCTTCACAAAGGTTGATTGGGACCTATACCCAATTAACAACTAGTTAAAAGGACGACAAATGAGAAAGAACGGTTTATGCAAATTCTTGAGAAAAATGTCTAGTCCTCTCATCCTCTTTCTTTGAGTCTATGGCTCTCATCTCCCTTTTAGTTATCTTCTACAGTAGTTTTCTTTGTTAGTTTCACTTTCAGTTATAACTTCAAGTTTAGTGATTATAATATTTGAATGTTTATATTGTAAAATTGGAGTTGTTATAAGTTTGAGTTGATTGATCCATTTTTATAAATATATGAATTACACTACATAAAAAATGATCATTAATGGCAATTAATTAACATCAATAGCTTAATTGTCGCTAAATATGTATTTTTAGCTGCAATTAGAACTTTTTGTATATGTCCCTAAAGCCTTTAGAGACATTGGTTCTAATGGCACTTAACTAATGTCGGTAAAGACTTTAGTACCCTTTATTAATGTCTATAGTTATTGCTGCTAAAAGTTATTTTTGTTGTAGTGTTAAAGAGTTGTTATTTCCAGAATCTTATTATGATTACTTGATTGAACTAGATTGTGGGGTGTTGGAAATTATTCGAAAGGGGAAGACTCAAATCTTGGATTGATGTTGATTGAATTAAGGCAATTAATTTCCTAAATCTTGTAAATATAGTTGATTCGTGTATTTCCCTTCATTGTGTGTGTTAATGAGTAATAAGAATGAGGTGATTGGTTCATTGCTCCACTTGATTAATCTTAATGAATAAAAATGGGATTAAAGAAAAGGTAACATGTTGATCATAATGTTTTTTTAATTTTCTTGTGGTGAACCCTATTTGATTGATTGGTGAAATGCTTTGATGACATTAATGTGGACTTGAATTGCTTGAATTGTTGTCTCTTCCTTATGGTGAGAAATTACTTATATGCATTGATGTTAATGTGCACCGTGATGAGACATGTGATATTATGTTGAAAAGAGAAAATATTTCGGCAAGCTACATGATATAAAGCTGAAGGGAAATGATTCCGGCTAGTTACATATTATAAAGTTGAAGGGAAATAGTTTCGGCTAGTGATAATATGTTGAAGGAAACGATTCCGACAAGTAATGTGATGTAATGCCGAAGGGAAATGGTTTCAACTAGGAATTGATATAAGCCAAAGGGAAATGATTCCGGCAAGTGATATTGTGCCAAAGAAAAATGGATCCGAAAAGAATTGACTATTGTGATTTGATGCATTTTGATACTTTTGATTGATCTACTTGTTACTTGTGCTTGATGCACTTGATACTTGTGATTGATCCGTTTGACACTTGTGATTGACATACTTGATACTTATTGGTTGTTGAAATGTGACTATTGGATTGTGATCATTGAGCCTTGTGAACTGTGTATTGTAGAACTATTAGGTTGGTCTAAGTTCTATGCAGGTTGTAGTTTGAGGAGGTTAGGTTGAGATGAAAGGAGTACTCGATTTCTATATAGTTTTACTTTGTTTAGTAGGTTGCTTGTTGAGTACCGTGTTGTTAAGTACTCACTCTTTTCTTCTACATTGTGTAGGTTTCGAGCCCAGACCCATGTGATCTTCTTCTTCTATTTTCGAGGATTGTCAAGAGACTTTGAGAGGTAGTTGTTTGTCATCCTGGCGGGCCCTCTTGTTCTTTTACTTATGTTTTGTTCTAATCGAGAGATAAAAACATTGAGACTTGTAATTACCTTTTAAATTCTGTATTTTAATATTAGTGGCTCGTACGTGTGACAGTAGGTTTTGGGGTTATGGTAAAATGAATAAGTTTTCTGCTCTTATCTTATTCTTCCTTTTACTTTATGTATTTCTTTCGTTTCGTTATGTTGAGGTTGTCTTGGTGGGGATAAACAAGTGAAATTACATCTATTTTTTTTATCATGGCAATATTTAATATGCTAATGACTATTAAATGTCCTTAATAATCTTGTTGACTTTTCTCCTAACATAATGTCTATACTGTTACTTTTCTAATTTTAACAGATTTGTTACTTGGAAATTATCCCTCTTAATTAGCCATTAATATTATATATTGAAAATCTTTTATTCTTCTTTTGACTGGGTTGAGCTCTTTAGCCAAATTATGTGATAATCTTTCAATCTATAAATACTAATAAAAGGTCTATTCTTTTTGGAGAGAGAAAAGATATCAAGAACACCTACTCTATTGTGTTGGGTTTTCATTCTTGTTGGACCTTTATTAGATTATAACTCCTAGTTTTATACTAGAAGAATTTGTTGAATCACGAGGATATTCTTAAGGACAGCGTATGACATGTCTCAAGTTTTGGTGAATTCCATACAAATATTTGTGGTAATGTGTTTTCCATAAGATTTCCAACGATCTTAAAGGGTCTGTTGCAGTCGAGTTGTGATAATTCAAAGTTTTGTTGGCTTTATTGACTAAGGAGTAATCAAAGAATTAAATTTATTCACACTTGGATGTGGGAAGGAGAGTTGTGTAATTTATTGTGAGAAGCAAATATAAAAAAAGGGTCAATGCGAGATGAAGCCATAGCAATCAAAAGGGAATTTTTTTTTATTGTGGAAGTCAGTACTGCAGAGGAGTTTATTTTATAGTTGGACTTTTGCTTTCATATTAATAAGGTATGTGATGATACTATATCTCTACAATTCTAATATATATTTGTGTGTAGCAAATTGTTAATATACCCCGAAGAAGATTCAGAGCAATGATAATCTCGCTAGGTAAATATAAATTTGACTAAGTGGATGATATATTTATGTGGTCATTTTTCAAGTGAATTTTATGGCTGATATGTGAAAGATTGGGCGTTAGAGTTTGGTGGTACCAAGATTATTTTGTGTTCTACTCCCAAATTGGAGAAGCAAAATAATTATATGCTTTGATGATTCTAGAACAACTCATCAAATTCCTAAAATGAAAAAGTTCTTTTTATTAAACTCACATATGAAAATATTGGTTTTATCTGAGGTGGTTAATTGATATTAATATTTGTGAAAGTTGATTTTTGTGAAATTGTGAAAAAAGATTGAATGAGGGTTTTATTTGAGTTTGATAAGGCGTTAATAAAAATTACAACATTTCTGTGATAATGAGTTTGATTTTGTTTGTACTTAATATTTTTAAGTGACAGATGAAAATGTTGATAGTTATGTTTATTTGATTAATTCATATGATTTATGATAGTTAGGAACATACTTTACTGAAACGTCATATAACAAATGTGGTATCTTCAAAAAGGAAATGCTATTGGAGTCTGTTTCGGGGGAGGAGGATATGATATGGAGGAATATATATCTACTTACTATTATTCTCATAATATTTTATTATTATTGTTGTCTAATTTGTTTTGATTATCATATTATTAGTTATTGGAATTGTAATTTTCTCCTTTCTCCTATTTATTCTATATGGCCCTCCACTTCATTTTTTTCTTTTTTTTAATTGACTTTGGTATTCTCAACTTGAGTTGAAGATCTAATAGAAGCAATCTCCTTGTCTTTATATCTATTAGCTATATCAACTCCTTAAATGATCAAAATTGCACTGGTGATACTTAAAAGGACTATTTTAAACCTAGTAGTAATAAAGAAAAGATACCATTTTATTATTTCTTTTCTTAGTTTTACATTTTACTTTCCCGTGATCAATAGTTTTCTATTTTACTTTCATGTGATCAATAATAGAATATTTCTTCATGGCTAAAAACAAATACATATTATGTAATTATACATGGATATGAATGTTATTATTATTCTATTGAGTGTTGAGTATTATTTAGATACTTCACTAGAAATAGGGTCAATTAAGGTAATTGAAAACAACAAGTACCAAATTTGATCTTTGAATTCCTTAGCAACATTGTAATAATTAATGAGAATTTCCCTCTCAAATATGACTATAGAAGTTGAAAGTTGAAACTAATAATATAACAAAAGGTTATCCAGTTAATTAGTTTTTTTATTTATTTCTCATTCGATGTCTGGTACTCGCATTGAACTCGATTAATATACTTACTATTCTAATATTACATATTATTATTATTGTTATTATTATTATTATTATTATTATTATTATTGGTATTGTTATTAATATTATTATTGTTTTATGTAGTATAAGAGTAGACATTGACAAGAAATTTCCATTTATTCACAATAAGCTTCAACTGCCAAGAAGTTTGCTGCTTGCTCCTTCCAGTGACTCAAAGTTTTCGTTCTTTTGGGTTAGCACCAAACTGTTCTTCACCTTCGCGATGGTTATCTCAAATACTTCTTGCGGTATCATTCCTCTATATCTCTGGATTGTAGTTGTAATTCATTCATACTATAAAAATAATAATTCTATCTCTATGCAATAGGTACTGGTTACTACTTATTTGTTTTCATTAAGCCTTCTGAATTGATCAGATTCTTTTAATTTTTCAATGCAGGGAATATAATGGCGTTGTTTGTTGCTGCAGCTATTGTTTTATGTTGTCAAAGTCAGTTGATCCCTGAAACACCTCACGTTGTTGTTTCTCAAGATGGAACCGGGGATTTCAAGACTATAACTGGAGCAATACATGCAGCCCCGAATAAGAGTGTCCAACCATACTATATCAAGATTAAACAAGGCACATATCGGGAATACGTTCTAGTTGATAAAAAAAAGACGAATATAGTATTGATCGGAGAAGGAATGGGTATTACAATAATAACGGGTAATAGAAGCCTCTACGCCGGCAATAAAACCTATGACACTGCAACAGTGGGTAAGTCTCCCTCTATATATATGGATTTCATTGATTTTGATAAATTATAATTCTTTGTTCTTATTTTGTTTGTAGCGGTTCGTGGGAGTGGCTTCACAGCCCAAGACATCACCTTTAGGAATGACGCTGGACCCGCAGAGTATCAAGCAGTGGCGTTAAGAGTAGAAGCAGATTTGGCTTCTTTCTATAGATGTCGCTTTGATGGGTATCAAGACACTCTATATGTCAAAAGGAACCATCAATTTTACCGTGATTGTGAAATCTATGGCACGGTAGACTTCATTTGCGGTAACGCAAAGGCCTTATTCCAAAACTGCTTAATTGAAGCATACATTCCATTGGCCAGGCAGTATAACACAATCATAGCACAAAAGAGAGAGTTTAAGAAAGATAAAACCGGAATAGTGCTTCAAAATTGCACTATAAAGGCAACCCAAGATTTGGAGAATATGGATAACGTCACCACCTATTTAGGTCGACCATGGGGTAAATACTCTAGGGCAGTGGTCATGGAAAGTTACATTGACCACTTCATAAGTCCTAGAGGATGGATTAAATGGACTGCATCTGCAAAGAAACCCATTGTTCGTCGCCATCCATATTTTCTGGAGTACAAGAATAGAGGACCAGGGGCTGTTACCCAGGGACGTGTGACATGGGCATCCCTTACTACGGATCCAAGCATTGCATCAACTTTTACCGTTAGGAACTTTATACATGGTGACAAGTGGATTCCCGCCAATATCCCATATTATTTAGACTTTTCATAAACAATATTAGGGTTGTGTTCCTTATAATTATCACATTACAAAAATAGTCGCCATATGTTCTTATCTTGTTGCATCAAATTTTCTTGGTACAAATGTCTCAGATAAACAAGAAATAGCTATGTGCTTTTTCCCTGTTTATTAACGATCTGCAATTCTGATAGTACTAACTAATTTGGATTCACAACTAGCGTAACTATACATCTTCATTGAGCCTTGAGGGTTCTTCATTCACATGGCTAGAGACCTTTGGTTAATAATGGAATGATCCCTAGTGGTGGAGCTATGCCGAGGAAAGTATAATTACCCAGAACTCATGTCTCACATTCTATTATTTTTTTGATAATCTTTTTAGTGTTCAAATTAATGGAGAGTAACGTAACATGCATCGTTCCCCCATTACCAATATCGTCATAGTAGTTATCTTTGCTGTAAAAGCACTGTTGGAGAATAAAGAAAGAAGAAACATCGTATAAGAAGATAAAAGAAGAGTTGCAGAGAACTTTCACGTTATATTTCTGATATATTAAAGAAAATACATAGGACGCTTTAAATAGAAATTAAGACTCAACCACCTAAGATAAACATGACCCACTAACTTAACCACAACCTTATCCACTAAGCTAAATATTAGCAACTAACAGAAGATATGCTTTGACTCAACTAGGACTCCTAACAAACGTGTTACTCTGACAACTAAATAGGAAACTCTAATTACGTTTGAATCAATATTCAACACTCCCCCTTGATTCAAAATTATAGACTCCAAGTTTCTGCCGGAACTGATCATGCTTGGCTTGTGGGAGGGCCTTGGTAAGAACATCTGCAATTTGATCCCTTGTACCGCAAAACTTCTACTCTATATCACCTCTTGCTGTATGGTCACGAATGAAATGATAACGGATGTCTATGTGCTTTGTTCTACTGTGAAAAGCCGGATTCTTTGTCATTACAATTGTTGCCTTGCTATCGCAGAATATTTTTATCGCATCCTCTTGCCGATAGAAAACATCAACTAACATTCTTCGTAACCATAAGGCTTGACAAGCTGCTGAAGTTACAACAACATATTCTGCTTCTGATGATGATAATGCAACCACATCCTGCTTCTTTGAGCTCCAACAAATCGCTCAAGATCCTAAATTGAACACATTTCCAGAAGTACTCTATCTGTTAACTATACTTCCTGCCCAATCACTATCACTGTATCCTGTCAAGCTGAAATTTGCATCTTTGGAGTACCAAATCTCGAAGTCAACTGTCCCAGCAATATAACGCAAAAGTCTTTTGGCAGCACCAAGATGTTTCTTGGTAGGACTATGCATATACCTAGACAACATACTAATAGAAAACATAATATCACGACGAGTATGTGTTAGGTAGTTCAAACCTCCGATCAAGCTGCTCTAGTGACTAGGATCAGCGAGATCTGTGCTAAAGCTGAAATTTTTCATTTGCATTCATGGGTGTGGCAGCTGCTTTACAATTATGCATACCGAACTTGAACAGGAGGTCGTTTGAGAAACAAAAATACCATCTTCTACCTATTTCACTTGAAGACCAAGAAAATATTGCAAAATACCTAAATCTGACATTTCAAACTCCTTCATCATGCAAGATTTAAATTCAGCAACTAAAGTTTCACATTACCCCATATAGATCATGTCATCCACATAGAGACAAACTACCAAAAAATCACTTGTACCTTGTTTCTTTACATACAACGTGGGCTCATTCTCGGTCCTTTCAAATCCATTCCTCAGGAAGTACGAGTCAATTTTGTTGTACCATGCCCGTGGAGCTTGTTTTAGCTCATAAAGAGCCTTTTTGAGCTTGTATTCTCACCACTAACACCAAAACCCTCAGGTTGGGAAACATAAACTTCCTTTTCCAAATCCCCATTTAAAAATGCAGATTTAACATCAAATTGATAAATGGGCCAGCTCAGTTTAGCAGCCAAAGATAACAGTATTCTCACCGTTTCAAAGCGAGCAACAGGTGAAAACGTCTCATCGTAATTAATACATTGATGTTGTGCATATCCTTTAGCTACAAGCCTTGATTTGTATAGTTGTATGCTCCCATCTGCATGACGCTTGATTTTGAACACCCATTTGAGTCCAATGGGTTCCTTTCCTTCCGGTAGATTCACCAATTCCCATGTTTGATTCTGCTCAAATTCTTGCATCTCTTCTATCATTGCATTTTTCCATGCTTGACTTTCTACAGCTTCCTTGAAACAACTGGGTTCAGTAACATACATAGCAAAAGAACAATTTTCATAAATCTCCCTTAACGATCTGAATTTCGGTGGAGTCTCACTGAAAGAATCACTTGAAGAAGAACTGCTGCCACTTCCTTGGGGGTTTAAGTCGTGATCACTTGCTGGAGCAGAGGTTCTTGATTGATGAGTAGCACGGCTGCTACTTGCTGGAGAAGAGTTGGATGCGTTCCCTGGAACAGAAACTGCTGCAGGTTCTTGCTCAAAAGCTTCATCAGTAGGCAGCAATTTAATATTTGAAATAACATTCTCAGAATCAAAGTTCCAGCTAGCATCTTCATTAAACATAATATTTCTACTGATCACAATTTTTTCACTCAATGGATTATATAGCTTATAAGCTTTGGATTGTGTGCTATATCCAACAAGGATACATTTGTTTGATTTTTCATCAAGCTTATATCTAACTTGGGAATTCACCAAAGAATAAGCTATACATCCAAAGACACATAAGTGGCTTACCTTGGGATTGTTACCTCTCCATGCTTCATATGGTGTTTGATTAAGAACAACCTTGGCGGGTGAAATGTTCAGCATGTAGACAGCAGTAGCAACAACTTCAGCCCAAAAATATTTTGGTACACCTCTAGCTTGCATCATGCTTCTACCCATTTCAACGATTGTACGATTCTTTCGTTCGGCAACACCATTCTGCTCCGGAGTATATGATGTTGTGAGCTCTCTGTGAATACCATTTTCCTCGCAATAGGTGTTGAATTCATTTGATATAAATTCACCACCTCTATTTGTTAGAATAATCTTAATTCTACAACCACTTTGTCTCTCAACAAAAGACTTATATTTCTTGAAATTCTCAAATGTTTCTAATTTGAATTTTCAAGAAATATACCCAACTCATTCGACTATAATCATCCGTAAAAAGCAGAAAATATCGACTTCCACCTAAGGACTCAACACTCATAGGACCACATAGATCAGCATGCACCAATTCAAGACAAACAGATGCTCTCCAAGACTTACCTACAGGAAATGAGTTTCTATTTTGCTTCCCATACACACATCCTTCACAAAATTCAAGAGCATCAATTCTAGGCAAACCAAGAACCATATTTCTGTGACCTAATAATTGTAACCCCTTTAAATTCAAGTGACCATACTGCAAATGCCACAAATTAGTGTAGCGACCCTAAAAATTGATAGGTGAAACTAGAGCCTAACGTATGAATCTTAAAAGTTTAAGCATAAATTGGAGTTATGAAATTTTCCAAAAATTTGACCAAGTATAAGTTCAAGAGAGGGTTCAAGGAAGGCGAAAGGCATCACTGCCCTTCGAAGCTCCCTTGAACTTCGCCTTAGCCGGATGGTAATTCCAAGGCCCTTAGAAGCTCCCTTGGTAATTGCCTTAGTTTTATTTGGGCAATCCAAGGGAGGCATAAAAAGGGGTAATTTCGTAATTTCCTTTTTGGTCTAAATTAAATGGGTATATGAATACTCCCATGGATATGCCTTAGCTTTAAAAAGCCGAAGGCAAAGTCCAGGGAGGGTCCAAGGCTAGTAGATCACTTCAAGGACCTTAAATGCTCCCTTGGACTTTTCCTTAGTTTTATTTGGTAAGTCCATGTGGGCAAGGGGAGTTTTCGTAAATATTATTTTTAAGTTAAATTAAGAAGTGGGTATATTTTATATTATTTCTAAATAACTATATAAGGTATTAAAACATTTAAAAGGTTTTTTTTTTAATTCATTCTTCAAATTAAAACTCCCAAAGACTTTCTCTCTCTAAAGTTTTCTCACGTTCAAGGAAGAAGAAGGTGGAGAGTTAGGGTTTCAAATTGAGGGTTCCTTCCACCAAATTTCGTTGGGATTTCATCAATTGAAGTATGATGGCTCTTTATCTAAAGCTAGGTTTCGCTTTAGAGCCAATCTCAAATGAATTTCAAAGTTTTCCAAAAAGTTATGAAAAAAGCTTGTTTCTCAATTCTCTCAAGGGTTCTTGCATGAAAATGGTTTCAATGATTAAATATGATGTTATTAATGTTTGATTGAAGGTTTTTGAATGAAAACTCTATGAACCCTTGTCTTCCACAAAACTCTAGAATTTGCTTATGAAGTGGGTCTTTTGCTTATAATTCAAAGTTTATGAAATTGTGTTTGGATTGGATTGTATTGGTGACTCTTATGATTTTCTATATCTATCTATGATGAATTGTGGATGTATGGATGAATTGAGAGTTGTGGCCTTATGGGCAAGTTATGGATGAATTCTCTTGTGGTAAGTAAAAATGGTGGGGACTTGAGTGTTGTTGAATATGTCTTTGGAGGATGGTAAGTTGGCTTAATCTCATATTATTGATATAATTGTTCTTGTTTTGTTTGATCCACTTATGGTGGAGGTGTTTAATTATGGAATGTATTATGGACATAGCCTTGAAGGCATTATCTATTGAATTAAAGTGTTATCAAGTTATGAAGTGTCATTGTACTATGTGAAGGTATTCTTATGGACATAAGGTGATCTTGTATAAAGTGTTATTACATTATGATTGAAAGTGTGATCTCTTTTAATATTCATATATGTGATGATGTTAGACTATGAAGAGTTTCTATATGGTAATGTTGTGGCTTACTTGGTAGACTTAGATGTCCCTTCTTGTTACATGAAAGCTTATGGAATGAATGAATGTCTAGGATCGGTA